GTCATTACTATCAAATTTTAATAAAGAAAATGAAGCGCAACAAAAATTAATTTGTAAGTATTTTCAATTTTGTTCACATTTTATTTCCTGTTGGCTAATTAAAAATTAAGTATAATATAAAGTACAATATTTCAAATGAATTTCTTAAATATTATTTAACAATTTATTGCATAGTAATGAAATTATAACTATGTAGTATGTACCTATTTGAAAAAAAAATAATATGATTTGATGAATACTGTTATTTATTATGATATTATATGAGTGTATATTTGTATTATTATCAATAACTTTTATAATTTATAATTTATACATTATCTTATTAGATTTATAACTCATACAAAATTAAAAACTATTGTTAGGTATTTATCTACTATATTTTATCCATCTGCCAAGATAACTGCCCTTCGTTACTCATAAAATAGTTTGACAACGCCTCACGATATCGATTTTGATTTCTGTTTGTAGTTATGTTTTCAATGTCACTGAAATCTTCTAGGCCATTGATCGTTAGGGTATCATCATAAATAAAGCCATCTCGATCGCGTACAAAGTTATGTAAGACGCAACAACATTTAACTATATCTACTGCAAAGTCAACTTTAACATCAATAGGTCTATGAAGTATACGCCACTTATTAGATAGGATACCAAATGTACATTCTATATATCGTCTAGCACGTGTAAGACGATAGTTGAAAACCTTTTTTTTAACAGGCAAATGAGTTCCTGAATAAGGCCGAAGCAAATGTTTATCTAATCCAAATGCTTCATCGCCAACAAAAGCATAAGGTAGCGAGATGTCTATTTCGGGAAATGTATTACTTGGTGTTGGTGCGGGAATGTTTGGGTGATTTTTTTCCAATTTTTCCCAAAGTAACGAATTTCTAAAAATTGTAGAATCTGAGTCTTTCCCAAAAGAGCCTATGTCTACGTAAATAAATCTGTAATTTGTATCGGCAATGGCAAGTAGTCCAATAGAAAAAAAATGTTTGTAATTCATATACAAAGATCCACTTCGTTCTGGTTTGATGACGCGAATATGTTTTCCGTCGACTGCTCCTATACAATTAGGAAAATTTGCTCGGGTTTTAAATTCTTCTGCAATTGTAATCCATGTATTTTTATCAGGGATGGGAATACATTTTTCTTTCAAGATGCACCAAATACTTTTGCATACTGTTCTAACTATCTCACTAGCAGTACTTTTCCCAATCCTAAAATTGTAATGCAGTTCTTTTAAACTAAAACCTGTGGCCAGATACCTAGAATAATAATAATAATTTACTCAGATAAAAATTAATAATAAATAAAAATTGTTTTTATTATAACGTTATTATAATACACTAAAAAAAATTACAAAGGGTTTTTCATAGTATTTAAAATAGGAATATTTAATAAAAATATAATAAGTGCCCAGTGAAAATAATTTATTATTAAATGCTGAACAATTTTGGTTTTTTATCATTTTTATTTAGTGCAAGATATAATGGCAAAGTGGAGAACAATCCGTGATAATTATGCAAGAAACTTAAAAAAAATTGGAGAAAACTCAAAATCTGGTTCAGGTGCTAAAAAAATTAGATTATACATTTATGCAGAGCAATTATCATTCTTGGGTAAAACCAAAGAATTACGAAACACTGAATCTAGTTTTGATCAAGTAGCCGCTGTTGAAGAAGAAATTAATAGTATTGATGAAAATGAGCAAGCTAGAGACGAAGATGGGTCTCCTCCACATACGTCTAGTGTGACAGAAAAATCAAAAACGAAATTTAAGAGACCAGACGTTGAACGCGCATTAATTGATTTTATGGAAAGTCACAAAGCGCCCAAGAAACCGCTCGAAAATGATGATTTGGCATTTTTTTATTCCTTACTTCCATCAGTTCAATCTTTGAATATGGAACAAAAATTTATATTTAGAATGAAAACAATGCAGCTCCTGCACAGTTTACGAAATAATAAAACGAATGAATCCATGCAGAGTCCTTCAACTGTGAGTGTACCCACACATAATATGTTTTATCGTCCGGCTCATATTGTTTCTGATCATGAAAATATGCATTCTCCATCTACATCATCCGTCGGATCATATTACTCTCAATTTTCAGTTGAAGGTGATAATGTGTCGAACGATAGTGGAACTTTGGAAGGAGGTTATCATTATCAAAATCTACTGTGATTTTATTATTTTAATTTAAAAAAGTTAAAGAACAAGTTGTTACGGTTTGGTTATGTATAGAAATAAAATTGTATGATTTGTTTTCGTAATTTTAATGAAATTAATTCAAAGTATTACTTTTTTTATTATTAAGACATGTTTATCACTATAATTTTAAATATTTAAGTATTATTAATACATCAAAATTATGTTATGTAGCTTATTTAATAAAAATAATAATATTTAAATTAATGTTTATTTTCTTATTATTTAATTTTATATAGGTACTTAATTATAACTTGATTTTTAAATATATGTACATACCTTAAAGTTATCACTAATTTTTCTTCGGGTTGAATAGCTATTCTCATATTTGTATCTTGCCGTTTTATATCATTTTCTATGTACGATAACAACTCATCAAATGAACTTATCGACATGCGAAAGTAATTAAAAAACTTAACATTGTCTTTTCGAAGTTGCTTATATAATTGAAAATAATGGCCATGTGAATTGTGATTGACGTTCAGAGTTTATAGGGTGAACCCAAAATTGTCTTCTTTGCTGATTTCTTAAGTACAAGTACGTCAAATATGAAAACGTAACCATTTCGTTCGAATCCATTACACCTACGTCTTGTACCGTATAAAATCTGTACGAAACTACTTTTTTCAAAAATAATGAATCTACGGTCGTAATATTTAACGGTTGTGTGAACTGATAAATACGTGCATCAAAATATACGCACGTTATAACGCGCGTACTATGTACGCTCGTGTGGCCCCAGCCTTAGTGCAACCGTAGCAGCCGGTATGCGCACTTGTATTGAGGCGGTATATTGTCACCTACTGCTGAATCTACTGTCATGTTTATAGATTATATGGACAAATTATTTGACATATTAAATTCAAAGCCTAAAACAGGAAGTAAGGACTTTAATCGACTTTTTAAAAACACTAACTCCCAAAAACAACACTTAATATACATGTTAGATGTTTTTAAATGTATGCGTGTCTTGGAAACTAATATTTTAAATGGTGAATTAGTGAATAATGTTACACATTGAATTAAATTTTTAAATGATTGGCAAATTACTATAAATTCTTTGTTACAATTATGGGATGACATTGATAAGTCCCCTGAATATTCATTATGTACATATAGAGTAAATTCGGATACCATAGAAAATCTGTTTGGTAATTTTGGCAATCAAACTCATCAATCTTTGACTTCGGATTTGTGCCAATATTTAACAGAATATTAACTTCTTTTTTTACTAGCTTGAGTGATATAAGTAAAGATATTTATAATTATTATGTTGTACCTACCAACATACAAAATTGAATATACTATGTTTTCTATCCAAACTTCTAAACAAATATATTAAAAGGTTGGTCAACGATAAGGTACGTTACCCTGGCACCAGTACGTCACAATTTTCCACTGTAAATTATATCATTAGTAAGTAACCAATTCATAACCATTCGTTACCACGAATTCGGAATTCGTAACTTCATTTTCACGGCGGAAAATCCAATTTTTCAGTGGTGCTGAGAGGTGGTGTAACATTACAACAGCACCCCAATTCAAGGAAAGTACACTTATTGAAACCATAATAGTACCACTGTTTCCCTGAATCACCTGAGAACATAGAAATCAAAAAAAAATTGAGGGGGTCAAGTTTACCACCCCTACAGAAAAAACAGATAAAATGAATAAAAACTTAGACAGTTGCAAAAAATAAAATAAAAAATAATAATTGTTGATATTTATAAAAAAAAAAACAAATACAAGGTAGTAAAAGAAAATTTTAATTTTTTACAGATAAAAATCTTAAAAATTGACTTGAACTATTTAATTCGGGTCCATGACAAATAATAAATAATTGTAAATTTTGCTATTAAAATTTCTAAATTATTACGGGTTTTAGGAAATTAAAAATAGTTGGGATGTTCATTTTTCCTTAACTGTTTGGAACCTCCACTTCATAACATTAATTAACTTAACTTTTTAAGTGAAAGCATTTATTTATTGATACTATTGACAATGACCATTGGTACGATATTATCTAACCTAATATTTTTTTTAGACTCACAGTAAAAAAAGTGTTTACTTTAAGTTAATATTAACATATTATTTTGTATTATGCATGTATGTATAAAACATAATTGAGGTATACTTCATTACATAGTATATTTAGCGATTATATAATATATTTGAAGTATAAAATTATTCCATTTAAAAACTTAGTAATATTTATATATTACCTATATTTAATATAATGCATATTTAAATTTAATTTTATTTTGACCTAATAAAACGGTTATATTCAAATTATATGTAGTTGGATTTCATTTTCACATCTCAACATTATTCAATAAATTAAATATGCACATTAGTCATTACTCACATTGTTTAAATGATAAAAATATATATTATGAAGTATAACTTAACCTAACCTAACCTAACCTATAAACATAATTGCACACGGTCAATTCATGAAGGTCAATTTCTCCAGTCTCAAAATTTCGAATTAAAATTTTTTTTACCAATTGTTTGTAGCCGGTTTAAAAGGTTTGTATTTTTATAATCTCTTTTTTTCGTCTGTAGACATTTATATTTTTTTTAACCCAACATTTTAGCGTTGGGACTAGGAAAATGCAATAATTTTGAAGTTTAATCCAATTTAAAGTTTTTATTCAACTAGGCTTTTCTTCTATTAAATATGGTTTGTTTATACAAATTACAATTTTTATTGCATATTAGGGATAAATAAAAATTAATCATAAAAATGATGAAAACAATTTAATTTATAGAACTGATTCTTAAATATAGCAAATATAAAATAATAATAAATATAATTGACACATACAAATAATAAGATTCTGAAACTGATTCGAAATATATATATATATATATATATATATTACCGTATTACATATTCACATCCTACCGTTTGATAAGCGAAATACACACGCAATGTATACTATAGATATTTACAATTTTATTATTCAATAATTTTAATTTTTATGAAAGGCTAAACAAGCGATAACTGTACATAACATCAACTTATTCAGCTCTTAAATCACATATCAGTATGCGTCTTCTTCTGGTGGGCTCTTAAACCACACATAAACTTGTACAATTTTCCGCACACCTCACACAAGTACCATCTCTCGTCCGTGTGCGTCTTCTGGTGGGCTTTTAAATTATTCTTTCGATTAAATGGCATGTCACATAAATCACATGAGTACGGTTTCTCGCCCGTGTGAGTATACCGGTGTACCTTTAAAATGTAACCTGTAAAGAACGACTTATCACACACATCACACGGGAATAGTTTTTCACCTGTGTGCACCCGTCGGTGTGTCGCTAGCTGGCTACGACCGGCGTATACATTATCACATACGTCACATGCGTATGGTCTCTCACCCGTGTGCGTGCGCTGGTGGTCTTTAAAAGTAACACTTCGAATGAATGATTTTTCACAGACGTCACACGAGTACGGTTTCTTGTTTGAGTGAATCAACTGGTGCTCTTTCAAATTAGAACGTCGAAAGAATGACTTCTCACAGACGTCACAGGGGTATAGTTTTTCACCCTTGTGCTTAAGCTGGTGGGTTTTCAAAGCATCACTGCGAATGAATGACTTGTCACAAACGTCACAACAGTGCGGTTTCTGGTCTGTATGCGTCAGCAGGTGTTTATTTAGATTGCCGCCCTTGTTGAATGACTTATCGCAAATGTCACACGAGAATGGTTTTTCGCCTGTATGAGTCCGCTTGTGATATATAAAACTACTTAAATGATTGAAGAACTTATTGTCGCATATGTTACATTTGTACACCCAGTGTGTCTTCTGGCTAGAGTTGGAGTCGTTCATCTTAATAATTTGACCCCGAATCAGAATCGACACTGTTCACAATTCTATTTTGCCCGGTTCTGAAAAATAATAATTTTTTCATACAATGAACTGGTTACTAGACTATTTTATTTATGTTGAATTAGAATGTATTGTTACCAACTGGTACTAAAATTTAATGATTTACCTAATTATAATATCAAAATAGAATAAGAATTAAAAAATAAATGTATAATATAATCATATATAAACAATATATTAATTATTTTATTTAGTTTAGTTTGTATTAATCAATCACACAAACAAGTATACAAATAACTATACACATAGAGGCACATAATAGTATTATTATAGTATACCATTACATGTTCACAGTGGCGTATTTGAGACTTCACCTAGGGGGGGGGGCGATATTAAGAGGAGTAAACCGCCCTACCAATTAAAAACATTTTTTTTAGACATATAAAAAAACAAAGCATTTTTATTATTTAATTTTGCACTTTTATTAAAGAATTTTTATTACAAAACAAAATCTATATTTCTTTTTTTAAGACTTGTGAATCGATCAATTACATCATCAACATTTATTTCTATAGATCTGTGAATGTTTAATAATGCCAACCCTGTAAGCCGATCCTGGCCCATTTTTGATCTCAGCCAAGTTTTTAACCTATTGACAAAATAATATAAAGTAGCAGATATGACTAATATAAGGATATAAATAATAAGAAGTGGAAAAGCCAAAAAGTGGATGTGTGAAGTCGAGGAGAGTAGTAAACGAAAATAACAAAGAGAGAATGTAACTACTATTACTAAAAACTAAATACAGAGCAATTAAGCATATGGCACATTCCGAATAATGAAAACATTTGTTTCAAGGTTGTTAGTAAGGCTTTATACAGTCGAGTTGCGATAACTCGAAAAACTTGACAACTTGATTTTTTTTTTTATTCCCCTAGAACCTTGTTTGCGTATATAAAATATAGCGTGCACGGGGATACGGGATGTTAAATCAGTTGCAAGTCGCAAGTGTACGAATAACGATTGTATGGCGAACAGGCGAACGGAACAGTCGAACAAACACAACACATTTTCATAAATATCATATTTAATTTTTCATAGATAAGTATCAGATAAGTTATCAGTTTATCACAATAACGAAATGACCCATCGTGACCATTAATTAGGTAACCATTTCGACAGATGACGTTCCGTTCCATCATTCGTTTGGTACGACTACGTCACCCAGTCCTCGGGCCAAATGTTCCATCTTTGCGTACCATAGAGCAATCACTAATCAGTAATCCGGTTGTATTATGTATTATCAGTTGACAGTTATCACAAAAATTTCTCATCCAAAAAAAATTATTTACTTATTAATTAAAATATTTAGAAACACTTATAAGTTCAACAATCATANGGGGGGGGGGGGGGGGGGGCGATCGCCCCTATCGCCCCCCCTCATATACGCCACTGCATGTTCATGTTTGTATGGATTATGTATGTTATAATATAATATATGATAAATAATTATAAGTCTATTATATTTTATGTTATATTTTAAATGTTGACATACCATAGGATACTGGAAGTCACTGTAAGTTGGTGAACGCTAGTATAGTAATAAAATGGGGATTGTTAACGAAAATGTTCGAATGTGCTTTGTATTTATTGGGTAGTAGTACTGATGTCTGTGGTGGATCAGATTTTACCTTAGGGGAATCTGATTCAGAGATTATAATCGATGGTTTATTACAATTCAACAAGTTAATTCATGTGTCATAAATGGGAATCCACATATTTATGATTTAAGTAGGCGTGCACACGAGGTGTATAGGCTGCGCAGCTGCATCCCCTGCATAAATGTAGAGAATGCATCCCCTTCTTAAAATTTTTAATTGAACATTTTTTTTATCTATTCAAAACGATAACCAGTTTATTATTGACTGTAAAATTATTAACCTATATCATAAATTATAAACAGGGAAGTATATAATATGTATAATAGGCCTATAATACATTGCTATGGACTGGCGTCCCGCTTAAACATTATTATAATATAATCAATAGGACATTTCTACACCAGTGGCTTATTTAGGGGGGGGCTAGTTGCTCCCAACCCCCGAAATAACAGTCTTTATTTTTAAATAGAATATCATCATATTTTATTAGGTAGGTACTATTGTCTATTATAAGTTATAATATTTCATAGCCTGTCGAAAAATAACAAATACGAATATTTGACATTACCTATTATCATCGTTTATTATCTGTACGTATATCTACGGGAAAATAAAATAATAATATTATACTGCCAGACGCCCAGACTGGCAATAATAATTGATTATCAGTTAATATGAATGCTATTTATAGGTTGGTTAATAATTATTGGTATCTTTATTCGAGATATATGTTTACGTATTACGTTGTCGTTGATATCAGTGTCCCACCCAACAACCACAACGACGACAATCGGCTTGCAATCGAACATTTTAATTATTTTCCTTGGTCTATGATTATAATAATTAGTAAAAGTACTTACAATATTTTGTGTAAAATAAGTTCTGTAGTAATTGAAAATTACTATACTTTGTATACTATATAGTTTATTGAATTTTAAATAATGCATTTTAAAGACAAATTAAAAAAAATATGTTTTTGATGCCGAAAAAGTAAGTACAATTTAATTTTAATTATTTATTAATTTAAAAAAGCTAGGTACCATAATTAATGTCTTGATGGATGATTTTAATTTTGAAATATATCGTAAATGAATATGATTATTTATTGTCAAATCATACACATATTTATTAAAATTTAAAACTATTTGATTGCCTACTTATATTAATAAATATGCATTAAAATATTTAAAATAATAAATTCAATTTAGATATTTTAGTTAATTACCTACTTATATTTTTAAACAAAATTACAAACATTTAACCCCTAAAACATAAACAAAATTTATTTTAATAAATCAAGACGTCCATTATTTCTATTCGTATTGTTATTTTTTATCATAGTTTAATGATATATTTTTATTTGTGTATTAATTTATTATTTATAGAGCAAACAATTGAATAAAGGAAACTCTGTTGAGAAACGCTCGTTATCTAGTGAAATTAGCGAATCATATATACAAGTATATAAAAATGTAATAGTCGTCTAAAGTTGCTATCGCATTACCGGTGTGGAGGACCCAGTCAGCTGCATTCTCCTGCAACCAGCCATCGTCGTGTCCCATTCAGAGTTGTCGTAGTCAGTGGTAACGTTGGTCTTGTATTTATATATATATTTTTAAGTTCCCTCTTTTGGACGGTAAATTTGTGTACTAGATGCATTATTATTATATATTTCATATTTTGGGGACGTTCCTCTATTGATTATTATTAATTATTATTATTGATTGTATATGTCATATTATTTATTTTCATTATAACTAATTCGTTTATATTATTATGACACCAACCGGTGGGTAAACTTAATAATTCCGACACCTCGCAAGTCGCGACCGACAACCGCCGTTCTCGTAGGAACGGCAGCGGCGCAACAAAAATACTATTACCAGCAAATAAACAATTTAATATTGACAACAACAATTGTAATCATATTGATATATCTGACCTAGTGTAGCGACTATCGCAACGTAGCTCATAAAGCGATCATTCCTTTGGTCAGGCATGCGGACAGCGGCAACTGCTACACCGCAAAATGTTGACTCGTGACTACCAATTGAAATGACGCGGACTTAGATGAACATAAATAACGATATTATACGTTTCCGTACCGTGATGTATCGCACGTTTTTAAGGCCTAATCCCACAAGTCCACGACATGCGGTGCGCGAAAATTAAACTAATACTTAGATGGCGACTGCAAAAGGAATTATTCAACAAAAAAACGCCGTGATAAAAACGTGGTTATTACGGAGACAACTGTATTGTCTACAGCAGAGATTCCCGAAAGGTGGTCCGCGGAACCCCGGGGTTCCGTGGAAGGGCCTCAAGGGTTCCGCGTACCGTCCAAAAATTAAACAAAACTTTCATAAAAAAGACCGCGCCGCCGTTGTTCACACATTCGTTATGTGTTTGATTTCATGCTTCTACTAGTATTTCTAATCGCACGTGCGGTGGCCCACGATAAAAATACGCATGGATTTACCGAACTGATAAAACATCGCGGGAGTGGGGAAGCGCACGTAGCCGCTGCCAGCTCCATTCGAGTAAAGACCGCGATAAGACTGCAGAAGTTAACGTAATTATACTAGTGAAAAAAGAAGTGGATTGCAGTGAGTTTTGTTCATATCGCGATTGTTTATATCTGGTATTTTTGATTTCACAGGTAATGATGTATTTGTTTATTCATAGAGATTTGTATGCACACTGTGCATAATTAAATAAGAGCGATTTATTTACATGTTATTATTTTATTTCAGTTTATAATAATGGATAGTTGGCTCAAAACGGGGCGCCTCGCAAGTGGAAAAAATGTTTTAGCATGTTCACCAGCAGAAAATAATAAAAATATTTCGGAAATAGATGTTTCTAGTTTGTCAGTAAGAAATAAGAATATTATATACCTATTATAAAAGCCTTATTTATAAACCTATTATTGGTTTATTACATTTTTATTACTATATTTGTTACTATATTTGTTGATTTTGTACAAAATTATAATATATTTTCTTTATAAAATTGAAATGCCTGAGGGCGCAGGGGCACCTATGGCCAATTTTTAATTTAATTTTTATTTTATTTAAATTTAAATAATTATAAATATAACAACAAGTATTGTCAATTAATTTCAGGATTTGGTAAATATTGGACAGGAACGACAAAATAAACTTGTTAGTGAAATTGTTTTACCTCAGGAGAGAACTACTTCTAAAAAAATAAAATATGACGAATCGTATTTGTCCTTTGGGTTTATTCCTGTCGGAATGGCTGAGAATCCGGATGGACAATGCGTTATTTGCAACAAAATAATGTTTAATAGTTCATTGGTACCGGCAAAGCTAATACGACACCTTGACACCAACCACCCGCAACTGAAAGATAAAAGCTTAAGCTTTTTT